GCAAGGGGGGGAGGGGGCGCTGGGCCCAGGCGGGGCGGCCGCACGCACGCCCGGGTCCCCGCAGACCCCCTCCTCACTGCGGAGCGCCGGGTCCAGCCCCCGCCCCGGCCCCACCCCTGCACCCTCAGACCGCGCCCCAGCGGCTGCCCAGGACCCCCCCCCCCACGCACGCCTCTGCTCTCTCCATCACATCCTCGGGGGCCCCCGGACCACGCTGGAGAGCCACCTGGAAGCAGGGACCTCGGGCGGGGGGCGGGGCGCACCCGGTCAGGGACCCTTACACCGCACGCCCCTAGAGGCAGAGGGGCCTCCGGACCATCTCGCGGCATCTCGGGGGACCCAGACCCCACCTCCACCCCCAGGCGTCCTAAATCATACCCAACACTCGGATGGCCCACAGACCACACCCCGGGATCCATGGAGGGCTCAGGCTGTATGTCAGTGTCCAGAGGGGCCTAGCATAGCTTGATCCGTCCGGGAACCCTGGGAAGCCAGACTGTATTCCACAGACAAATAAAAAACTGGGTCTAATCCCAATAATGTCTTTCCTCCCTCAAGGACCTTAGACGGTGCCCTGCCCGCCAGGAGGAACTGTAAGTCCTGGCTAACGGCTAAGGGACCCCGAACATGTTCACGGGAAACCTTAAGCATTCCTCACTTCCCCAGCTATGCCTCGGATCATCGTCCAACACCCTTGGGGAGCTTGAAACTTGGACTCTGCTCCTTTCAGGGACCTCCCGCCCCCACGCCCCCCACCCCCGCAGCCTCTTCCTCACTGTGACCCCGGTGGGTGCTAGAGCACTTCCCTTCTTCCCTGTGGACCCTCAGCGCCCAGCACCTACCCCAGAGCTCACCTCCCCCTCCTTTCCTCGGAGTTCACTGGGTGTTTCAGGCCCTGTTCCATCTCCTTCGGAGGTACACACAGGACCCCCAAACTCATCAAGGCCTCCCCTCGCTGCAGCCCCCAGATCCCCCGCGGCTGGGGTCCTTTCCCTTAGGGACCTCCCGTCGAGAGATCAGCACTCACACCCAGAACAGCTCACGCTGCAGAGCTCTGTGGTGAAGGGCAGTCCCACTCAAAGCAAAGAGGAGCACCAGGGCCTGCTGACAGCCCCTGTCTCCTGACCCCACCCACTCCCTGCCCTCCAGACACCAGCCCCAGCCCGGCGGGGGTGGGGTAGGGTATCCATCCTGTAATCCAGGCTCTGAGGAGGCTGAGACAGGCATGTCCCTGGGGATTTGGGGCCACTCAGTGCAGCCTTCCTGTCTCATAAACCAGGTAGACCTGAGCAGGAGAGGTGGCTCATCTGTTAAGAGCCCTGATTGTTCTTCCAGAGCACCCAGGTTCAATTCCCAGCACCTCCATGAGGGCTTAAAACTCTCTGAAATTCCAGGCCCAGGGATTCATCCCATGGATCCAGCACCCTCTTCTTACCTCCGCAGGCATCAGCCAGGAGAGTGGCGTGTAGACACTTGGGCAGGCAGAACACCCATACATAAAGGAATTGTTAAAACTTCTAAAAAGAAAGAAAAGCCTGGTGGAGGTGGATCACACCTTTAACCCCAGTACTCAGGGGGCAGAGGCAGGCGGACCTCTGACTTTGAGACCAGCCTGGTCTTCAGGGTGAGTTCCAGGGCAGCCAGGGCTAGACAGAGAAACCCTGGCTTGGAAAAACCAAAACCAAACAAACAAAAAATTAAAAATAAGGTGGCCCACTCCTGAGAAGCAGACTAAGAGCGGTTTAGTCACTCGTCCAGGATAACATGGGTAATAAATGGCATCGCATAAAAATGGACCGGAAAGTGAGGTGAAGCCCTGGGCTGGAGGTGAGGGGAAGCGGGGGAGGGGATGGAGAAGTGGAGTGCAGACCCGGGGCCACGCCTCTTAACTCTTCACCCAGGCCCTTCCCCCAATTCTGGTTCCCAAAGCATAAATCTCAGCTCGATAGGACAGGCCCCAGGTTTGCTATGTAAACCAAGCTAGCCTTGAACTCAAGGATCCGCCTGCCTCGCCTCTGGAGCGCTGGGACTAAAGGTGTGCGCTACCGTGCCCAGCCTGAGTCTCATGGTTCTTCTTTTTGTTTTGTTTTTTATTTTCTAGACAGGGTTTCTCTGTGTAGCCCTGGCTCTCCTGGAACGCGCTCTGTAGACCAGGCTGGCCTTGAACTCACAGAGACCCGCCAGCCTCTGCCTTCCAGATGCTGGGAGTAAAGGAATTAAAGGCGCCACCTTGCCCCACTGCCTTTTGAGACCTAATTATAATATTCATCCTAGGCTCCACCCACAACCCCAAGCCCCACCCATCCCACCTAAGTCACACCCTCCATCTTTGTCTTCCTGCCCAAAGAATACTAACTTCCAGCCTCGGCTCGAGTCTCCCTTCTGTGCTAAAACCTGTCCTGGGCTTCTCAAACCAAGCCTTGCTCACGTCCAAGGATAGAAAGAAGTTGTCCTGGGAAACTCTAGAGATGCTCAGTACCTGCTGGCACCTCTGGCCAAACCTGAAAATCTGAGTTTGACCCCTGGGACCCACAAGGTAGAAGGCTAGAACAAACTCCTAAGTAGTCCTCTGGCTGTCCCGAATGTGTGCTTGGGAACACACACACACACACACACACACACACACACACACACACGTGAATACATCCAATAGAATCATTTTTAAAAATAGGTTAAACAGCGGGTCCCGGTCCTTCCTAGAAGCAGCCTAGGGATAAGCCCAGAGACACTGGACAATCTGTTCTGTTCCCGACCCTCTGATTGGGAAGGAAGGCGATGGCTGCTGAGACTCTTGCCTGAAACAGCACGGTGTGGTCCTTGGGCATGGGATAGTCTGAGGCTTCAGCTCCTGTGCCTCAGTTTATCTTCAGATTGGGGTCAATCACGCCGATTCTTCATGGCACCTTGTAAGAATTAAGCTAATGCCTGTGTGATGCCCACAGACGCTTTGCTCACAGAAGCGCTCAGTGGGGGAGCCCTGTCAGCTGTGACACGTTTTGAGGTTGTGAGTGACCTTGGGCAGGCCCATCGCCCCTCCGGCCATAGCCTTGGCCGGCCAGGGGTTCCCTGACCTCTTCATGAGATGCCCCTCTCATCCTCAGACTTCTCCTTCCCACCTCCAGCTACTGGGCACTGGGGTTCTCATCGAAGTTCTGTGGGTGGGGTGGGGCCTCTAGCAGTGAGGAGACAGGTGGATCCAGACCCCCGCCCCCAGACACACAAGGCTAAGGGCATTTCTCCAGGGCCCACTTTAGAGATGCCCTACCCATAACTTCTCTGCAAACGGCTTGTCATGACTAGGGACGAGGGAACAGGGTCTGCAGGGGCAGGATTGGGGGGAAGAATCTGAAGGCTGGGAGGGACAGGCAGGGTCGGAAATCCCTTTTAGGCCCATCCCTAGGAGCACCAGGGGTGGGGGGTGGGGGAGGGAGAGCCCAGGCCCAAGGTCACTGTGTCATTGTTACCATGGCAACGGCCACCTCTCAGCAGGAAACCTGGAGAAAGGTGGAGGGAGGGAGTTCTGGGGCCCTTGGGTGTGAGGACTGAGGAAACGCGGGAGACTGTGGGAGAAGCAGAGAAAGTAAGGTTCGTCCCTGTGAGGATCGCCTATCTCAGAGCCCCGTATACCTTGGGTGCTCAATAAATGTCCTTCAAAGAGAGACAGAGGCCCGAGGGAATTCAACGTCCAGAAGTGCCAGCAGAAAAAGACAAGAGCGTGGGAACTCTCCCCTCCCCGACTCCTCAAGCCCTCTGGGCTTCGCTGGGAGTCCCGAATCCTCATTTCCCGGGCCTTCCAGCTTATTGAACCCCTGAACTGTCCACCCCCGGCATCCTCCTGGGGGCCCGCAGCAATTACGTTTTGACCCTTTGACGCCTTTCGGCCTTTAAACTCTTCCTACCCGAGGGCCCGGCTGAGGACAGTGGCGCTTAGAGCCGAAAGACGCCCCAGACGGGGGAGCGAGCTGAAGGAAGGGGTGCAGCACGCACCCCTCTCAGGGGCCTTCCCCCTTAGGCGTGACCCCTCCACAGACTCGGACATTCCCTCAAACGCCCTCGGGAGAGCCGGCCCGCTTGCCCCTTGCACCCCGTCCTCCGGAGACGCCGCCCCCTGCCGGCCACTCGGCGGAGCTGCGCGGCTGCCGGCCCGCAGAGAGCGGGCGGAAGCATCGCCAGGCTCCGCTCTCCTTCTCTAGACCTTTTATTCAACTCTTGGATGTACATATCCTAGAATTCTGAGTCCTCAGACGTAAGTATTTCAAGTCCCCGGGTCAGAGGTCAACGAAAGAACGCTAACTTTTCCTTCAGCCAGGCCTCCGTGAGGTCGTCCGTGGTGCGGATTTCAAACACCTGCGTGAAGAGAGGGCAACATCAGCCAGGCATCAGGGCGCACCTCCACCCCAGCACTCGGGAGGCGGAGGACGGCGGGGCCGTGCAGAGACTCTGTCTCCGAAAAGCAGAGCGAGCGAGCGAGAGAAAGAGACAGACAGACAGACAGAGAAACAGAGACAGAGACCCAGGCAGACAGACAGAGAGACAGAGACAGAGACCCAGCGAGACAGAGAGAGACAGAGAGACAGAGACCCAGCCAGACACACAGAGAGAGACAGAGAGAGAGAGACAGACACCCAGAGGGACAGACAGAGAGGCTGAGAGACAGAGACAGAGAGAGGGTTCTAACCCAGGAGCCAGCCCTCCTACTTCTAATTCTTTTTGTTTGTTTTGTTTTTGTTTTTCCGAGAAGCCCTTCTACTTCAGCTCCAGGAGTCCCGGCCTCCCAGTCCCTCCTCCCGGACCCTGGCGTCCAGGCCAGCCCTCTTCCCTCCGAGCTGAGGGCCCAGCCCCTGGCTGCCTCCCGCAGACCCCTGGGCGGCCAACCCCCCAGAGCCGGGGCCCTCAGCACCTTGGTGAGCTCCGCGGTCTGCACCAGCCAGTTTTTGCTCCCTGCATACATCATCTGCTGCTCAGGCTTGCAGCCTGCGAGGAAGAGAGAACGGGTGTGGCTGGGAGCGTGACAGTCCTCACAAGGCTTCGGGAACTTGAGGAGCTGGCGGGAGGGCCACACTCGAGAGCGTCTAGATTTGCAGGGAGCTTTCGAGTTACAGGGAGGGTCTCCCGGAGAAGATTCTGGAGCCTGGTGAGGGGGTTCCAGGTAAACAGGAATCTAAATGCCTACCTCCACCACACAGCTCCCACAAACAGCGAAACACACCACACACTCACACACACTCACACACACACACACTCACACACACTAACACATACACTCACACACGCACACTCACACACACACTCACACACACACACTCACACACACTCACATACACTCACACACACACGCACACTCACACACACTCACACACACACACTCACACACACACTCACACACACACACTCACACACACACTCACACACACACACATACACTCACACACACACGCACACTCACACACACTCACACACACACACACACACACACACACACACACACACACACACACACACACACACACACACACACACACACACACACACACACACACACACACACACACACACCCCCACACACACACACACACACACACACACACACACACACACACACACACACACACACTCACACACACACACTCACACACACACACACACACACACACACTCACACACACACACACACACTCACACACACACACTCACACACTCACACTCACACTCCTCAGAAGCTAAGGCCCTCTCCTCAGGACAGCTGGAGCTGTGTCTCACCCACAGGGCTGGAGAAGATGAAGCAGAGGGGGTAGGACACCCTGCCGTCAGCGTGCTCATACTTGTAGCTGTAGAGCACGAACCTGAGGGAGAGAAAGAGAATTCACACTCAGGACCCGAGAATCGGCCCCAGCCCGCATCTCGAGTTCACGTCCTGGAGTCTGGGGCCGGGCACGGCAGCACACGCACCGTGGCCCGTCAGGAGGATTCAGCCTCCGCTCCACAGTGAGGCCAGCCTGGGCCAGGTCAGCTCCTGCCTCAGACATTTAAAAACTGGAATTTCCTATCGGGCTTTCTCCGCCACAGACCTATTCATTCGGAGTGCAGGCACCCAAGACAGCAGGCACGGTAGGTGGAGCGGGGCTGGCTCCCACTTCCCTATCCCAGCAGTGGGACCCGCGGGCTGGCAGTCACTCATGTGCGGGACTCGGGAGCTGGAAGGCATTGCGAGCTCAGGTGCTAAGTGCGCCGCTGTCTGGTCAGTCACATTTCCCAGAAAAGACAAACTCTCAGGAAAAATCAGCACCCACCCCCAGGGGTGAAGCCCCCCTCTGGGCCCTGGGTCTTTGCAGTTGTCAAAGGTCCCTGGGCCTGGGAATGAGGTGCAAAACTCGAGAGGCGCTGAAAGAATTGAGTCAAGATGAAAGATGTGGACAGACCAGTTGAGTCAGGCACAGCGGCAATCAGCAGGCCGAAACAGGAAGCTGGGGCTCACGGGACACAGCTGTGAACCCAGCGCTTGGGAGGCAGAGGCAAGAAGATCAGGATCCCAGGGCGGGCGGTCCTTGGCTGCAGATTGAGCCCAAAGCCAACCTGGTAGACATGAGACCCAAGGGGGATGGAGAGATGGTTGAGCACCTCTTTGTTCTCACACGGGCCTGAGTGTCAGTTCCCAGGACGCACATCAGGTAGCTCACAGGCGCACACACTGGGACACAGACACCTACACACAATAACAAATTAAATCCTTTTTTTTTTTTAAAGGGAGGCGATGCTGGAGAGATGTCTCAGCAGTTAAAGAACAATTGTTGCTCCCCCATCCCCCGCCAGATAGTTTCTCTGTGTAGCCCTGGCTGTCTTGGACTCTCGCTGTAGACCAGGCTGGTCTTGAACTGACAGAGATCCACCCGCTTCTGCCTCCCTGAGTGTTGGGATTAAAGGTGTGAGCCACCACGCCCTGCTACAGTTGTTTCTCTGACAGAGGACTGGGTTCAGTTCCCAGCAAAGGTGGCTCACAGCGCTCTGTGACCCCAGTTCCAGGAGAGCCAATGCCCTCTTCCGGCCTCTGAGGGTGTTCAGCACCTGGGAAACACCCATACGCCACACACAGAACAACAAAAACACACCTTGTTTGAGACAGGAGCTCACTATCTAGCCCTGATTATCCTGGGACTCTCTATGTAGACCGGGCTGGCCCTGAACTCAGAGCCCTGTCTCTGCGTCCCAGGCGATGGGATTTAAGGCCTGTGTCCCACACCTGGCCTTTTTTTTTTTTTTTTTAAAGATGTCCTCCTGCTTTGTTTATCCTTTGAATTTATCCTTCTTAGTGTCAGGGCTGGAGAGATGGCTCGGTACTTAGAAGCAGCTGCAGCTTTTGCAGAGGACACCGGTTCCCATCCCAGCACCCACATGGTGGCTCAAAGCTCTAGTTCCAGGAAATCCTGTGGCGTCTTGTGCCCTGTGCAGGCACCAGACATGCGTGTGGTACACAGACATAACTGCACACAGAACGCTCATGTACATAGAACAAATAAATCTTTAACACACTTGTGAAAATTTCTGCAATAAAAACTATATCAGCAAAAGTTTCTAGACTATGACTTCTTGGCTTCAAACTCAGAGGTCCTGAGCCCATAGACAGAACTGGAGCCCAACAGTTTCCCCGGTTTGTAGGTCTTTTAATCACCCCTTACCCACAGCCCTCCAGTGCAGCCCTTCCCCCAGTTTACCTGGGCTGTCTCTCCGGCAACCCCAACTTAAGTTCCTCTGGGGAAATGTTCTGAGGAGAGAGAGAGAGAGAGGACAAATGACCATCATTCAGTTCATTAAACACGCACCTAAAACGTGCCGGGGCATTGTTCTGAAAAGTGTGTGTGGAGTCACCGAGGTTTCTCAGAACTCTATGGCGAGAGCTCACTGTACCCACTTGACAGTTCTGAAACTGAGGCCCAGTGTTGTCAAGGGGCTTGCTCCACATTGCACAAGACAGTAAAGGCCAGAGTTCCCACTCAAATCTTCGTTCCCATGGTAACCACTCTAGCACACTTCCTTCCAGGGGGCCGAAAGGCGCCCAGCGCCGCCTCCTGGTCAATACCCTTCCCTACCAAACAGCCTTAGCCCCAGCAGGGAGGACCACGAGGCCGCAGGGCGACAAAATGGGAGGGTCTTCTAGTTACACAGGATGGCCGGTGGCCTCAGACTGCCCTATCTGGAATAAAAGCCTCCCTCCCCCCCACCCCTTTTTTCCTTTCCTTGCTCTAGGGCCTTGCTTTACAGGCAGGAGCTCTGGAGAGCTATGCTCCCAAGCCCTCCTTTTTATTTTTTATTTACCTGCTGTGCTGGCTATTTTTATGTCAGTTTGACACAAGCTACAGTCATCTGAGGGGAGGGAACCTCAGCTGAGGAATTGCCTCTACCAGATGAGCAGGAGAGGGCACTTCCTTTAGTGACCTAGGGAGACTCAGCCCACCGTGGGGGTCCCACTCCTGGGCTGGTGGTCCTGGGTTCGATAAGAAAGCAGGCTGAGCAAGCCGCAAGAAACAAACCAGTTAGCACCCTCCACGGCCTCTGCATCGCTCCTGCCTCCAGGTTCCAGCCAGGCTTCAGTTCCCGCCCTGACCTTCCTCGGTAGACTGTGATTCGGGACATGATACAGGAGACCCTGTATCAAGAAGCCAAATAACCCCTTTTTCTCCCCAACTTGCTTTTGGTCATCACAGCAGTGGCAACCCTGAGACCCCTGGCTTTTTTTGGCAGGGGTGAGGCCTGGAACTCACTATGTAGACCAGGCTGGCCTCAGACGCACAGAGAAACCTGCCTGCTTCTTGAGTTCTGGGATTAAAAGCTGGTGCCACCGCTCCCAGCCTTTATTTGGCTTCTTGATACAGGGTCTCCTGTAGCCCAGGCTAGCCTCCCACTAACATTGTAGCCAAGACTGACCTCAACTCCTGGTTCTTCTACCTCCACCTCTAGAGGGCAAGCATGGCAAGCGGGTGTCACTGTGCCCTGTTTATGAGGTGCCACCCGGATCCAACTCAGGGAGCACTGTACAGCTTCACCCCAGGCCTCTTGCTGGGTTGAGGTCCCACCTCCCAGCCCTCACCTGGAATTCTTCCTCCAGCACCACCATCTGCCGGTCTTTGTCCACTTTCACTGCAAAGGAACACAGGTTACAGGCCCCTCCCATTCCAGGGGACGAGAGCCCACCCTTCCCTGCCCGTCCCCTTGCCCCAACTCTTCACAGGGCAGAGGTCACTGACTTATGATGGCTGCATTGTTGGTCTCCTTGCGGAAGCGGAATTTCCTCAGCTTTTCCTTTAGCTCCGGGTCTACTTCACACACCACCAGGGAATCCGACTGCCATTGGGGACAAGGGAGGAGCTGAGCCGGCTCGGCCTCTAACCAGGCCCCTTTCCCGATTCAGTTTCTCCATAAACCAAGGAAGAAGCTGAAGTTAGCCCATGTGGGGGCCCTTGGCAAAAGCCTCAGGTGGTCCCAGTCACCAGGACACACAGCTCAGCTCTGAGGTTCCGCCTTCCTGGGGGTACTCATGGATTATTCTAGAAGACCCAGGGGTCTGTGTGCCTGGGGCCAAACCACCATCTCTGTGCTCCAGCTACACCCTCTGTCTCCGCTGGGCCCTTCCCCTGCTGCTTGTGTCCTTCGGCCCTCTGCTGGCTTTCATCCAGGTACCCTCTCTGCCCCAGTCCACCCTAACCTCGGCCCCTCGCCCTTCCTCACCACCCAGGCCCTCTGACCATGGTTTTTCTGTCCTCGGGCCTCTTCTCAGTTCAATTGTCTTCTAGGGGTGAGGAGTGGCGGGCTGTGGAAAGGGGAAGCTTTCATCTAACACCACATCCTGTTTATGCCTGGCACAACTGTCACAAAGGGCTCCTCCCTCTCTTCCTTCCCCTCATCTGCCAGAACCTGTGAGGCTTTTCTAAGATGGAGGTTCGAATACTGCCTCACTGTGGCCCTAGCTAAGTAAATCCACACCTCTGATACAGTATTGCTGTGAAGATAAAACAGGAGATCATGAGTTAAGGTCATGGCTACATAGCAAGTTTGAGGCCAACCTGGACTACAGTTAAGTCCACCTGAGCCTACATGAGATTGTCTCAAAAACACAACAACAAAAAACAGGGACCCCAAAGATGGCTCACTGGCCAGCTAGGCAGTGGTGGCACACCTCTTTAATCCCAGCACTCAGGAGGCAGAGGCAGGTGGATCTCTGAGTTCAAGGCCAGCCTGGTCTACAGATCGAGTTCCAGCACAACCAGGGCTACACAGAGAAACCCTGTCTCAAAACACTAAAAAAGAAGCTGGAGAGATGGCTCATCAGTTAAGAGCACTGACTGTTTTCCCAGAGGACCTGGGCTTCAATTCCCAGCACCCACATAGCAGCTCATACCTGTCTGTATCTCCAGCTTCAGGAGATCTGACACTCTCACAGACACGTGCAGAAAAAAAACAACACACATAAAATTTTTAAAAAGTAAATCATTAAAACAAACAAGACTTGGCTTTTTGATCCCATGCACATCACCCCCCCCCATATTGTTCCCTTTCCCTTCTTGAAATAAACCCTGGGTAATAGGACCTACTCATATGCATACATTTAAAAAAATCAATTAAATTGTCAAAAAAAATAAAACATAACAAATAATACAAAAAATTAAAAAACAATTAATAAACCCAACTGTCCTGTAAAGAAGAAATAAAAACAAAGTAATTGATGAGAAAATCTGTATTTTAGTGGAGAAATACAGGCAAGCGAAAAGAAAGATTCCTAAATCCTTGCTCCACTTGGCTTTCTGCCCTGGCTCCCCTCTCTAATGATGGGCAGACCCCATCCCTCCTGCCAGGCCACCTTCTCCGGCTGCTCTCTTACCCTTCCTGTAATCTGCCCTGTCCCCTGATGGCTCTTCCCCTGAGCCTCCATGCAGCGGTAGTTCTTCCATCTTAAAAGCGAACAGCCCCATCTCCAGCATGAGTGGTGGCGCACTTCTGTAACCCCCGCACCCAGGGAGCTGAAGCAGGGGCAGGGGTACCAGCCAGCCAGGGATATCTAACAAGACAGTCTCCAAAGGCCAGAAATAAAGGGGGAGAGACCAATAGCTATGAGCATTAGCTGCTCTTCCAGAGACCCTAGATTCCATTCCCAGAACACACAGGATGCCTAAGATTGTCTGTAACGCCAGTTCCAGGGGATCTGGTGCCCTCTTCTGGCCTCCGTGGGCACCAGGCACATGTGTGGGTGCACAGGAAAACATGCTGGTAAAACATCCACACACATACAATTAAAACTAACCTATAAACACTCAAAGAGGTGTGGCTGGTGCTGGAGCTCAGCAGGCAGAGTGCCTGTCGAGCTTGTCTAGCTCGCCCTGGTTCAATCCCCAGCACCACATAAGCTGTGCGCAGTGACACGTACAGCACTCGAGAGGTGCAGGCAGGAGGAGCCACAGTTCAAGGGCGTTCTTAGCTAGCTGGAGAGTTAAGAGCCAGTCCAGGCAACGAGATCTAGCTCAAACAACAAGGAGCCGAGCTAGGCGGTGCATCCAGAACACAAGGGCAAATGGAGCTCTGTGAATCTGAGGCCGGTTTATACAGCTGGGTTCCAGAACAGCCAGCGCTACACAGCGAGACCCAGTCACAAAACAAACAGGGCCATGGAGCTTGCTCAGCAGACTAAGGTGTTTGGTGGCAACCCTGGCCACTTGGGTTTGAACCCACGCGAAAGACAGAGCCAGAACGGATTCCTACTAGTTTTCAGATTTTTTACTTGTATGCCATGGCAACCATATCGGTTGTTTATCTCCTTCCAAACTTTCTCAAAACAATCGTGTATGCTTGCTGATTCCCATATTTTCTTTAAACTCCATGCCACAGAGCTAGGTTTTTGTTTTGTTTTTCCCAGGCTGGCCTTGAACTCACAGAGATCCGCCTGCCTCTGCCTCCGAGTGCTGGGATTAAAGGTGTGCACCACCACTGCCTGGCTTGTTTTGTTTTTCACACAATGCTAGCTTTAAAAAAATAATATATGGGTTCTCTGTGTAGCCCTGGCTGTCCTGGAACTTGCTCTGTAGATCAGGCTGGCCTCGAGCTCCACCTGCTTCTGCCTCCTGAGTGATTAAAGGGGTGCACGAGCACAACCCTGCTCTTAAAAATATTTTTTTTTCAATTTTTTATGTTTTCCTTCTCTCCTCTTCCTCTCTCTTATTTTGCTTCTTTTTCGTTTTTTATTATGCAGACCAGGGCTAGCTTCTAATCTACAGACACCTGTCTCTGCCTTTGCTGGGATTAAAGGCCTGCGACAGTACGTCCAGTTCATTCTCTTGCTCCCACTTCACAATCTTCGTTTCGTGTTCATTTCTTTCCTCAAATCACGTGTCCTCGTTGCTCAGAGCGCCGCTTCAGGGTTGTCTCCTTTCAACCCTCACACTCTACCTGGAATCGGCCGCCAACTCCCACAGCTTCAATCACCGTGTCTAATGAACCTTAAATCCTGGCTCCAACCTCATTTTGTCCCCGAGGTGAAGCAATGTTCTCGACCTCGCTGTTGGGCGTCCTACCCTGGACCTCTCCTCCGGGAGGTCCCAGCCCCCCAGAGGACTTTCTCCTGGGCTTTTGTCTTCCGCCCTGTGGCCAGCCAGTGGCAAAGGCTAGTCCGGTGGGCCACCCGGGCGTCCCTCCCACCTCGCACCGCCTCCCCTCCCCAGATGCAACCCCACCCCAACTGCCCAGGTCGCTCCCTGGACTCGCGCTTCCGCGCCCCATCCCTCCCCTCCCCGCTCCCCCAGACCTCTCCGCTCCTGAATCCCTTCCCCGCCTCCCTGGTGGCCTGTGCCCCGGCCGCAGCTCCTTCCCTCCCACTCCCTGCCGTGAGCCCCTTGACACTCCGCCCTTGACTGTATTGCTCGGAGTTCTGGGAACAGGCCAGGTCGCTGTCACCCTTCTGGAGCGCCGACCCCTCCCCAGGCAGCGGGACAGTTTGTGGACGGACTGAGGTTTCCACGAGAGCGAGCTCCCTTTATGGACGGCCTCTTTCGGGCGGGGGTGAGGGGGGTTTCTCTCTCTCCACCCTTCAAGGGTTCGACCTCGCGCCCCGGTGCCGCTGGAGGCGCGAACGATGGGCGCCGGGAGCCGGGGTGCAGCACCGTCCCCCCCCAAACCCCTCCCCCCCAAAGCGCGGGCACCGCAGGACGCAGACCCCGGGCGGGGCGTGGCCGAGGGGCGGGGAGAAGCGGCCCTTGAACGCCAGAATGAGGAATTGTGACTCGGTCCGCCGCCGCCGCCGAGCGAGACGGGCGCGAGCCTGCCCCCTGCGGGCCCGGAGGCCCAATCGCGAGCTCCGCCGGCCCGTTGCCCGGGGCAACGCGGCGCGCGCCCCGCCTCTTCCCGGCGCTCTCCCCTCCGCCCAGGGCCCGGCCGTCTGCCCGTCATCTGCGTCGACCAATCACAGTGAGGAGAGGGCGGGCCCGCCGCGCCTCGTTCCAGCCCCGTCGCTCCCCTCCCGCCGGGACCCCGCCCTTCTCGCCGCGCACCTCCCGCCCTCCGGGCTGCCCCGGACGCCAGTTGGCTGGGCTCTCCATCTGTCAACCGCTGTGCGCTAATGCCGGCGCGCAGGGGCCCTCCGGGGCGGGGCCAGGGGCGGTGACGCACGGCGCGGTGACGCAGCGCGACGGCGGCGGCGGCGGCGGCGGCGGCGGCGGTGGTCGGTGCGGGAGGAGGGAGGGGAGCTCGCGGGCCGCAGAGGGGGCGACGGCGGCGGTAGCGGCGCTGGTGGCGGCGTCTGCCTGAAGAGGCGCAGGTGGCGGCGGCGGCGGCGGCGGCGGCGGCCGAGGCGGTGAGTCGCGGGCAAGGCCGGGCCGGCGGGCGCGGGGCGGCGGCGGTCGAGGCGCGCGACGCTCCCCTCAGGGCGACCCAGGCCGCGCGGCCGGCCCCGCCCCCCTAGGGACCCCGAGCGGCGCGGCGCGGCGCGGCGGGCGCCGGGCTCGGGCCTCCAGGGCCGGAGGGTCCCGAGGACCCCTCGGCCCGGCTTCTCCCCGCCCGGGCCCCTTCCTCAGCGCCCCTCGCGAACCCCTCACGCCCTGGAGCCGGCCGAGGGGCTGGGCCCGGGGACCTCTGCCCCCGCTCGGCACTCCTCCGCCTGGCCCTCCCGCAGGGCGCCAGCGGCCTCCCCGGAGACCACCTCAGCCCTCAACCGCCTCCTCTGGGGACCTTCTCCGTGGATCCCCGCCCTTTGGTCCCTAGTTCTCCCCCCACGTCTTCCTGAATCGCAGTCCATTCCTTCGTGGCTACTTTTCATCTGTCTCCACGGCATGTATACTCAGGCGTCTCCCTCAGGAACCTCCCTGGCGCCCCCAAGCCGACCCCAGACACTCCCTTGGCATTTACGCCCCCCCCCCATTTGCATCACATATTCAAGCTATCTTCTTCAGACTTCCTCTTCACATACCCAAAGAATGTATCATTCCACCTTTCACCATTCCAGAAATATCAAGGGTTTTTCACTCTTATCCCCCAGATCTTTCAGGATGCCCCTGGTGAACCCTACATCTTCCTTGAAGGGCTTGCCTATCCCAGAACAGCCTTCTTCAGGTACTACTGAAGTGCTCATTAGATACCAAAACTCATCTGGAGGACCCCTCCTCTCAGTGCTTCCAACTCCCATACGAACTCCATCCTCTTCTCATATCTCCTGGACCTTTCTGTAGATTTCTAAAATCTGTCCCCAGATCCTCTAGAGTGCTCTAGAGATCATCTCTCATGTACCCTAACCATTTTCTCCTGAGCCCCACACCTGCCAATAAGAGAGTCTCCAGAGAATTCCTCTTACGTTTTAAAAACTCTTCCAAATCCCCTCATCCGTATCCCAAATTCTTCCCACACACTACGTGTTTTAAAAATTGTGTGTGGACGCCCAAAAGTTCCCTCAGAGCCTCTGTTCTTTAGAACTCTTCTTGGATAACCTGAAAATCTGAAGCTGCTCTCTTGTAGCCTTAGATAAACTTTGTGAAGCACCTCCCTGAGGTAGAGCTTTCAGGATCACCTCACATCAGAGACCCAGTAACCTTGAAATGGCCCTTAAAATACCCCTTAGGGATCCTGACACCCCTAGGACCTTTTGAGTTATTTCAAATATTTTCTTAGTAAAAGACTTTTCTAGCTAGCTCTTCCTCTGTCTCCCCACCCACATTCTCTAGAACCATCTTTAGAAAGCCTTACACATCTACCCATTCTTTCTTCAGTATAGCTGAACACCCAGAATTCCTTGTGGAAAACCTACTCTGATGCTCCTAGGTCTTCACTAGGAGTTCCCTAACCCTTTCCCCCTCCCCTGTATGCTTTATTAAAATTTTACTTGAGGTTTCTCATCCCTCTGTCAGGACCCTTCTCAAGACTACTTCCCAAGATATTGTTTTAGAGAATTTCTTCCCAAGCATTGTGTCAGTAATCTCCAGCACTTTCTGGGAACCCTCCCTCAATTTTATCCTCTGACATCCCCAGTCTTACTTCAGGACTGTGAGATTTGTGCAAGTTAGGATGAATCTATTCGTACTTTCTCTTATGCCCTCATTCTCATTCCTTTGAAATCATAGACCCTTCTAGATTGCCAGCCTACTTTCCCAACTATTTCTTCAGAGGCCACAGCATCCTTCAGACTCTCTTTTCCCAGACTTCCTCTACTTCTGGAAATCCCAGTGCTTGGAGACTCTTCTCTTGATAGACCTACCTTCCTTTCTTCATTTATATATTTATTTTTACACCTGACGCTTATAGGTCTCTCCTTTCACAGTTGGGAGGATCCTTAACATCCACTTAGAAACTTCTTGTGAAGGATTCACTTCACTTTCTTCCCTTTCATTTTAGAGACCCCTTACTGAAAGAATGTCCTTTCCACTCTGTCAGTGGCTCTCAAAGTATGGTTAGACCTGCAGCAGCATTGGTTGGAAAATGTCAATTCTTACTCAGACTTACTGAATCAGAAAGCCTCGGAGCAGAGGCCAGCAATCTGAGTTTTCAACAAACACTCCTGGTAATTCCGATGTATGCTTAAGTTTGAGAACCACTGCTTCTAAGAGGATCTCCCTCTCTCTATAAAAAGCCCTCCTGGAAAAGCTCTAAAGGTGTGCCTCTAAGCCCTGCTGTGCACTCCCTTTTGCCTAAAAATCCACTATGTGAAGTAGCCATCCTCCAGAAAGACGTCTTACCCACTTTGGAGGGGATCCCTGCGTCTCCACAAGCTTATCCCACCCTCTGAGTAATTACTTCAGATTCTGCCTTTGAATGGTTCCCTTTCAGCTCTTCCTCAGCACTTTCTCCCTCTACCCCTTTGGCCCACCCCAGAGCATTTGCTGCTTTTGCTTTAAATTGCTACTCCCATGAACACACATGTCCCTCTCATCTCAATTTCTCTTTCCACTTGGTCTTCCATTCTGTGCCTTAACTCCCAAGGACTGTCCATGCTTCATAGAGCACCGTTCACTTTCCTGCTTGAAGTTTTTTATGCGATTGTCCATTTACCCTCACTGGACAGGAAGCTAGAAGCACAGGATGTATCTGAATGTGCCAGGTGTTCCTCAGGAGTTAGTTGGCATTATTGGAAGAATGGGTACTCCAGGTTTCTCAGATCCCATTCCCTCTCATGTCTGGCACCCCTTCCCTGCCCCTTCCTCTCTTTCATCACTCTGTCCAGACTCCTTGCCTGTCCTCCTGCCCCACTGCTTCTGCTCGTGAAACTTTTCTTGGCACTGATTCTGAGCTATCCTGTATTCTGTTACAGTGTCCTACCTCACTCCATTGTGGTTAGTGTTGCAGTCTCTGTAAGCTTCGGGTCTCTCTAGTACTCTCAGCTTTTTTTCAAGAGGATCCATGTCACTGTAGAGCCAAGAAGAGGAAATAAAGACCCCAAGATAAACACTGTTTTTAGGGAGTCAGTAGAAGGCTTGGGCAGGTGTACCACAAAGGACATGAGGTACACATTGTATGCTTTGGGGATTCAGCTATTTGAGAAGACTTCATGGAAAAGGTGGTGTTTAGGTGAGGTGGTGTTCCATTGGGAAGCAGGACCACAGTGAGGGGCTCCTAAACAGGTGACACAGTTTAGACAGTGTATGTTTTTGTTTTTCTCTGCTGAGAATTGAACTTAGGGCCTAGGGCACAAAAGACAAGTATTTAATGACTGAGCTACATGTGAAGCCGCAAGTATCCCATAGTATCTTCTGTATACTGGGCAGAGTTAAAGGAAGGCAGCACTCTTTCATTTGCGTGACACTTCACAGCTGTGCTGGAGTGACCCGCAGCTATAACAAGGGATTGCTGGGTACTGAGTTCTTACTGTGCTGGGTGCTGTTTAATTGTTTCTCTGTCTCAAATCCACAGGAACCTGAGATAGAGATAAACTAAGATTATTTCCATTTTACATACGATGACGTGGAGGATAGGTGGGACTAAAAGCCAGTCTGTGGGCCCTGCCTATTTCAAAATGATAGTGCTCTTGGGTCAGAGAGTTGGATTTTCTTTTCAGACAGGGGTTGGGCTTGACCCTTAGTTTCCATAGCTAGGGGGAAAAAATGAAGGCGATGACATCTTCTTGTACTAAGTTAATGCATGTGAAGTACTTAGAACAGCATCTTACACACACACACACACTGGGTGGTGTGAGCAGAAGGTAGTTGGTGTTAACCAAGGGCCTAGAAGGTAGTGGGATTTTATCACAAAACACTTAAAAGGGAGGATTTTGAGCCTCAGCAGAGGAAAAGGAGGTGTGCGGGGCGGGGGGGGGGGGGAGGGCTAATTGGTTCATGTTACTGAAAAAAATCCAGACTACTTATAGTTGCATCCAGAGGTTCAGGTAGGAGTCCTGATGTTCACATTTCTCCACTGAGTTAGTAGCTTCTTCCTTAATAGGTTTCTGCTTGTGGTGACAGATTCTGCCCTCAGCAACCCCAGCTTTAAGCTCTACCTCTTTAACAGCTGCAGTGGGAAAAACAAAACCTCTAAAGAGTCCCAATTTGAAACAAATTTCCCTCCCTGGTAGGTGTGAGACAGTTGATGGTAGAAGATCCTTGGACATACTTGGGGTTCTGTACTCCACAACTGGGGTTCTTACTTGCTGAACCAAATAGGATTGTGATTCCATCCCGTGAACTCTGAATACTGACGGTTCCTTCTTTTTTTTTGTCCCCATCCTCAGTAATTCCCTGCTCTAATGGCCAGAATGACCCTGTTGACTTTGTTTCAGGGTCTTATTAGGAGAGGCAGGAAGGAGGTGAGTGGCCTCCCTTGCTGGCCTTACAACATAGAATGCAATAGTCCTGGGATTGAGACCCTTCATCCTGGCTTTGGACTTCTGGAGCCTAGAACTTTGGAGACGTTTTGTTTATTTTAGTGCAAATTTGTCAAGTTGTGGTTGAAGTTAGGTCATAAAACAGTATGTGAAGTATGTAAGGTTTGTTTTGTTTTGTTTTCCAGACAGGGTTTCTCTGTGTAGCCCTGGCTGTCCTGGCAGGCTGGCCTGGAACCCAGGTCTTCCTGTCTCTGCCTTCCAAGGGCTGGAACTAAAGGTGTGGACCACCAGTGCCTGGAGAACTAGAACTTTGTAGATCTTAAATGTCCCTACCTGCAAGTGTTCATTAAATAATCCTTGGAGGGAGATTTTTTGGGTATTAGAGATAAAGCTGAGGAAAAAACAGTGAAAGGCCTGAAACTCATAAACTTCCCATTCTGACAGGGGAGAGAAAAAATACTGCATTAAAAGAAATGTGAACCCTAGTGAGGTGGTTCATCAGGTAAATGCTCTGCAAGTCTGGCAGCCACGTTTGATCCCCAGACCCATGTGAA